GGCAAAGGGCTTCCCCTCGTTCCTTTACGCACTGCAGGGGAATAACGCCTTCAGCGTGATCCTGGCCAATCAGAATGTCTACACTCTGATTTTTACCATATCACATAATGCAACGCTCCAGATCCTTCAGTGGGCGATCCCTGATAGTTCGATATTATGCGTTCGTAATCTGGAATATATCCAACACGCACACGCATTGCTACAATGGTAGGTCTCACCATGTTACTCAACTTCATGTTCCCATTCTTGTAGTTCTCGACTCACGGAGCTATTTAGCGAATCAACAACGTGATTTCCTCCATCCGCCCTCGGATCTCGAGGACGGTTCACTAGGCGTTAGTGCCAAATCGTATGACTCGAGCTGTGCTCAAGCAAATGCGTATGTAATAGCACGGCATTCTTGCACGACAAGCCCGCCACAATAGTGCATGATGCGTGTCTCTGCTATACTGGATTTATACCACATAGCACCCCTTACATCACGATTGGAAACCACATCACCGCCCTTCCAATCATTACGCATTCTATTCCATTCACCTTGCTCAGAGTGCAACAACATGAATGCCTATAAGCACTGCTGCATCTGTACAGCGACCACTACACTCTTTTAAAATTGACCACCCATCAAACATATCTTCGCCAAAAGCTATGCGATTTTACAATGCTCGACGCTTCTCAGTTTGATCCTTTGAATCGGCATTGCAGAAATATGAGCCGATGCATCTCCACCCAGCCAAATGCAAGGCAGGTCTCTTATACCGCTGACCTCTTGGCAAGGTGACTGCTTGATGCTTCACTCTACCCCTAGCGGCATTCTCTTGGGCCCACCCTTGCTCGATGGCTTGAACTCTTTAATGTCCATAGACAGGGTCATTAGCTATTGTTTGCTCTCTTCACTAATGAATTCCACTGATGTACAATCTAGGTTACCTGCCTTTGTTGATGTTTATTTCCATAGCCTTACTTCTCCATCTAAATTGATGTAAGGCTGCAACGTTCTATTACTCTTCATGCCGCTGCTGCGAGTCGACTTCATGTAGGCATTCCCATCTGCTCTGAGAGTAATGTGGCAGTCTGCCAAATCATCGAGCAATCGTTGAAAGCTGAGCCGGGGTTTTTACTGCGTTCACGAGCCTAACCGCCTTGTCTATGACTGGCTTCAGACACCAAAATGTTCATCGCCAAAACGGTGTGCAGTAAAGCCTCTCGCTTTGAGGCATAGCCTCCGCTGCGTCCCAGTTTGCGCCACTGCTCGTGATTACCTTTTCTGCCGCACGGTTGTGTACTGGAGAAGCCGTATAGCTTTACCTGCGAGCGTCATCTGTCACTTTTATCCACCACAGTTCATTCAATATACTTTCACGATTGGTGATACTCAACGGAATCACATCAACAGGCTTGAGCTCAACTTGGGCAGATCATCATAGATTAGGAAATCACCGCGACATCATATGACTGTCCGGTGGGCTATCGACCCAACAACACCCACCAATTTATACAGCCTATGCCTCTCGTCGTCTACTCTTGCCTCCGGCTTGATGGGCTAACTGCCGACTCTTGAGGAATGCCTTCGCTTCTCTCACCACATTGACAGTACGCCATCTTGAACCTCAAAGAATACCCATCACTATCGTCATATCTCGTGCGTCAGTGAGCAAAGGCACATGACAACCCTCGTGTGCGTTTAAGCAAACTCGGAAAATACTCCTTTAATCTCCGAAGTCTTGCTTCGTCTTCTTCTAATTTTCCTTGCCCTACCAGGCGGTTAATGTTCGTAACCTTCCTTGTGAGTTCTTCTCTTCCTTGCCGTTGCGTAACTTCTTTGCACGTTCACCATGTTGTCAAATTATTGGACGTAGATTCGGCCTCATGCAGTCTTAGCTCATAGACTTTTCTTGCTCATGTCCCCATGCACGATACCATTACTTCATGAGTCCTGCTTCATGGATTTTTACTCATGTCCTTCTTGCCTCATGTATTTTACTCATGCTCCTCTTGGCGGGCTTCATGTAACTTTACTCATGACTGCTTGATTTCATACATTTTTTACTGTTACGTTCGTGCGTGATAATCCAATACTCAACTCGGCATCTTTTTGATATCTCCAAATTTATCTACTCACACACGTGCGTAGCTGGCACACGTGCAGGTAAACTGTAAATACAAAATAATGTCCACACTAATATTAGTCGCATCATGTCAGGTAATGGTTCCACTATATCCAACGTTATACTAACAAAGATTCAAAGTTATAAGAAATTAGGCCCGAGAACAAGAGACAACACTTAACAATGTATGGTGCATACGTGGAAGAAAATGCGCACAGAGCAGGCACTGCGAACGTATAAATACGGCTCAAGAGCAAAAGGGCCCGCCGCCACGCACAACAGACGTTTTTATACCGCACAAGGAAACCGCGATGGTCAATGCACTAAAACAAATCGTAAACGAGCCGAACTGAGCCCTAGCTGAACAGTTAAATACCGCCGCAAATACAAGAACTGAACAGTGCTAGAAATACGACAGTATATGACACACTAACAGAAATGCATGAGAAGAATAACACTGCTCAACAGCAGCTCAATGGGCGGGGGGCGGGGCGGCGGGGGGGGGTTTGGTTGGTTTTTGAGCCCACTCACCCTGCTCAACAGAGCTCAATGATTTGGTGTTGAGCCATGACTCTGCTCAACAGATGATATCAACCATGCTTTTCAGATGCCCGTGTTCGAGGTACAAAATAGTGCCATCTATCTGGCCCAAAGGTGAAAACGTCGTCTGCTTGTGTGTTGAAGTATAGTAATCTGCGGAGATTTTTTTTGTCTGTTTAGTGAGATGTTTTTGAATTGTTTGGGATGTTTTTGTTTGTTTGTATGCTGTTTTCGATTTTTTCCATGAGTTTGTGTTTTCTTTGCTGTTTTTGTTTCTTTCTGTTTTTGTCGTTTCATGTTTTTTGTTTTGGTTATTTGTAATTTTTTTGTCTTTGTGGTTGTTTGTTTTGTATGTTCTTGTTTCACAAAAAACCAAAGCTGCGTTGGTTCTTTGATATTCACCCCCAATCACACAAGCAAAACAAACAAACAACATTCAAAAGAAACACAGTCTACAAATACAAACCAACCAACCAACCAAGCAACAAACAGGCACAAAAACAACAATTGAACATGCCACTCAACAATCACATCATATTACACACAAACATGCATAAATACAAACACGCACAAAACACACCACGCAGTTACACACAAACACACACCACACACACACACACACACACAACCACACACACACACACACGACACACACACACACAGACAAAACCACACACCAAACAATCATGTTCAAACGAGAGTAAACAAAATAAAGTTCTCTAAACAATATTGCATAGCTTGTTCTTTGTTATTTTAGTTCACTTTCTTTTTGTCTTGCCTATGCTTTAAAATTCTGTACATAATATAGTGTATTTTTGATGTTTTCAATGTTTTTCAATTACTTGTTTCTTTCTTGCTTACTTTAGGTTTCGTTTCAGTCAATGCAATTTAAAAAATTGCAGAACAATATTAAAAATAAGGAGTTGTTTTGGTAAACATACTTTTGCCTAATACTGCAAAATACCATAAAACATCACTTACATGAGCAGATTGAAAACCCTCATTTATAGGGGCACACTGTAAAAAAGAAGAAGTTGTTTTGGTGAATAATGCATAGCACGGTAAAAAAACGCATCCCTGAATGTTTCAGTGGCGCAATATCTCACAAAATAACATTGTACATGAAATAAAAGCAAATCTTTGCAAAGTAGAGCAAAATTACTGTAAAACACCACTCATATGTACACATGGTATATATATTACTAGCTGCGGGTACCCGCTGCGCAGGGTAAAATCGTTTGCTACTAATTCATACTAATAATTAATGGACGCAAAATAGGAACATTTTGGGTGAAAATCGACAGTAAACATTGCAGACATATTTTTTTTCAATATTAGAAATCAGTCTAATAAGATAATAAGCCATGGCGGAAAAAACTGTTACGTACTGACATTTATATGACAGCCACAACCCACTTAGAACCCCTGCGACAATAATAGTTAATTATGGTTTAAATGCACAAGTTATTATTTATATAAACAGCATGTACGAATCGGTTGCACTGTTCATTGAAAGCCTCTTGATAACAATGTTTTCATGTTATTCTTACGGTGCAAATATGTAGGAGATTCCTGGTGTCTCCAACTCTTGGAGCTCCCCACGTACAGCATCCATTGTGAGATCGTACCAAGGAATAAAAGAAATTTCCATATATAGTATAGTAGAGACAGCGCAGCGGTGGGGTCTGTGCTTCACTGGATATTGGCTCTAGTGAAATGCTTGGCGCACACATGCACATTGAAATTAAGAACTGTTTTTCTATTGAATTCAGAAAATTAGCTAGCTTTGAATGTACAACTGCATTCTGGATGTAGCATTGCTGAACTGAAAAACCTCTCAACTCAGTGAGTAGTACCTCTGAACTGGTACCTGTTTGGTCTGTTTTAGTATTGTTTTCGGTTTTACATACCAGCACTGTCCAGCCCAGTGATGAGATCAGAAGGTGAGGGCAGAAATAGTCATAGATTTTCTGTGTGTGGCAGACTGTACAGTGGAGTGCTGACATTGTATATTGAAGTCACGAATTCAGAGATTTTCGCGGATCTTTTTTTCGCGCAGTTTCACGGTTTGACAGATTTTTTTCGTCGTGAGGAACACTCCCCGGGCTATAGGAACGCTCTGAAATTTCAATCCAGATCGCTTGGCGCGGTTTGGCCGCTCATAGGGTCGCATACACTCACACACATACTATATACATTCGACTCAAATATAAGATTAGTATATCATATGCAGTTCAAGTATTACAAAAACATATCAATTATAATGAGATTAACACGCAAAAAGACAATTGACTAAAAAGCCTGCCATTTCATCATAAAGGACGATGAAAGATAAAAGCTGCAAAGTCATGAATACTGCTTGAGAAAGACAATGGTCTGACTGCCGTAAAACACCATGTATAGACGGACATGGTATATCCATATTTCTACATAATACAATGAATTCAAGTATAATTCAAGTAGACAGCAATTCAGCGAAAAGACGAATGAAAAAAGAACTGCAAATTCATGAATACTGATCTTGGCGTTGCACAAAATTTCAATAAAGCTTATCATTAATGAGTTTATAGCTTTTGATAATACTACTACTTACTACTACTACTTACTACTTTTGATTACTTACTAGAGCATTTAGCACACATAAAGTAAAACATTTGGCATAGTAAATTCAGCTTGAGTTGTGATCTCTCGCGCAATTCAATGGCACATAATACTACTGCTTTGAATACAATCAAAAGCATATCATTAATGAGTTTATAGCTTTTGATAATACTCTGATTACTTACTAGAGCATTTAGCACACATAAAGTAAAACATTTGGCATAGTAAATTCAGCTTGAGTTGATATCTCCGGCAATTCATGGCACATAATACTGCTTTGAATACAATCAATTTCATGCAGATCCAAAAATGTTTGCCACAAAAGTCCTGTGACAAAAATATGAATATAAAGATAATTAACATAATACATGCATAGAAATATGAAGATAAAGAACATTTCATACTATATTTAATTTTATCATGAAAATGATACTATATTCTCCCAAAAATCAATGTCAAATACATCTTGAAATTGAAAGCTGCTCAGAAAATGATTTCATAAAATCCACACACAGAAAAGAGTAAAACTATCTATTGTAATATGTAAGATTTTGCTGATTTGCTGTGAAATAAGAGTTTTCAAACACAATGCATCAAACCAAAATATGACACTTTATGAAGTAGAATTTTTAGCGAGCTCTGCATCAACAATATTTTTGAAGTGATCAAAGCTGTCATAGACACGATCTGTAAAGCCAGGAGATACTGATTTTTGTGTGAGTGAACAAAAAGTAAACGTTTTCTGAGCACTGTTCTTTATTTTATCTTTGGATGGCACATATCACCTTCTTTGCCCATCACAATTTGGTTTTCCACACGCTGCGCATGGCTTCTTGGATTTCTTAGGCATGACATGTTTTGGTGGAGGTGGTGGAGGTGGAGGGGATGTGACAGTAAAGGGCGCAAACCTTGAGGGGAGGAATGAGACTGAAGCAGCACTCGGCTGAGAAGGCACTACCATCAGAATAGGGGCCTTGGATATTGGGGGACGTGGCAGTAATGTGGGTAAGCCATGCGCAGTGTGTGGAGTACCTAAATCTAACTTCCTTTTGTGCCCACGCACGTCACGGGTTTGAAGAGCTACCGTCTGATACTGCACCTGCTCCCTGTTGGGGGAATGAGAGATTTGGGGAGAGAATGCGCATCTGGAATCGGCTTGCTCGTCATTACTCTTCGGTGACTCGGCGCCTTGGGTACGACTGTTGACAGGTAGTTTGCCCTTTTGTTCTCCCTGTTCAGAAAGTTGGTGATGGACTTGGCATTGATGTTCGGGAGAGGAATCAGCATCTCAGCCAGCATCCTGTCATCTCATACTCGGTCGACGATACGCTTGTATAGGCCCTTTATCTTGCTGGCTATCTTGTTGGGCGATGACAGGATGCTGACTGCGGGCCGATTCTTCCATCAATGCAGAGAATCTCTCCGGTGACGCTCAGTATGCTCTGGCGATAGACAGGCATCCTTTCCATCTCCACTATCAGATGTGCCCGACGGAGCGTGCGGGGAGAAGGGAGCGGCATCTGTTGGAGAGGAGGGGTGTGTGTACCAGGCGACTTGATGAATGGCAGGATTCCTCGTTGAGATGTGCCCGAGGACTCAGCAGAGTGTGCCTTGTAGAGTAGTGTCTAGTACCAATCCCTCCTCTCTGCATACCACTCGCTGTGACCCGTCTCCAGCACGCGGTACACCTTAGACATGGAGACCGAGTTGATGCGGTCGGTTAGGAGGGTGACGACTTCCTTGTCCACTGCCCGCTTTCCCACAATGACGGCAGGGAACATACTCCTCACTGCGGGGGCAAGTTGCTGGAGAACACTTGAGCTCGAGGAATTCCAGGAGTACTGGAGCTTCTCCTTGTCTGAAGCAGATGAGGCGCTCTGTGAGGAGCGTGTACGGGAATTTCATCCCAAACACGGTGCGGGCGACACTCCCATATCCATGGCGGACAAGGCTATACCTTGATGGTGCCGGGCAATCGGTGTTGGGGCAAGGCACCTTCAACTGCATGACACCGACTGGCCTCCAAAAGAAAGTCGGTGTCCTGAAGAAGTACAGCATTGAGGGAAGAGTGCCTTCTACGCGACTGAAGAGTGGGGGCGGGTTGAAGGTCATCATGGGTTTAAGAACCTTCCTTGATCCTTCTTTGGTGTACAGCCCAAACACTGGATCGTTCTTAAGCCACTGGATGTTGGGCTGATACATCGGCAAGGTGTTGGGTGGAGGCTCTTCCCATGACTTCTGCCACCCCTCGAGTCCTGGGTCGGTGACGGTCTCTGGAATGCTTGTGACGGTCTCTGGAACGCTCGTGCTGGCTTCCAGCAGATCCCGAGCCATAGTCATTTGGGTCTTTACACCCAATTCGGATGTTGTCAGTAGGTTATCTAAAAAGAAAAAAAACACAAATCAATCAATACTATAAAGATACTGATTGTAACAGGCACTTGAGTTCCTGTGAAAAGATGAAAAGAAACCACATGAATAATATGAATAATACTTTCAATAATATTATGATTTTAGACATGTCTAAAGACCGCTATACACCGCACGACGCGATGGTTCACGATGAAACGGTCCCGTCGCGGACCGTCTTCTACAGTCTGGCGTGGAAGACCGAACATGTTCAGTCTGCTAAAAACCAGCTTGTCGCTTTAAGATTATCATTTAGTGCTTCAAAAAAATGAAAACCTAGTTTGTATTCAATGGGCAGAGGTATGTGCTATGATTGGCCAGATGAAGCAAATATTTCAACTCAAGCTTGAATTCTTTGGCCAAGATTAACTCATGTTTTATCAACATGTTTTTAGTGTAATATTATGCAGTGCCAAAAGTTGTATTTCATTAATTTGCAGCTTACAGGGATGTAAAATGTTGCAGTTTTTACGTGTAATTTGAAAATAAGTAAAAATTTTTCATATTTCATATAGAAATATCATCTTAATTGTGTGATATCAAGCAACTGATAAACTTCAGAGACTTATACGCTATGTTATTTGTGCTATGCAGTATTTACCAACAACTCTTCTTTTTTTTAATATTCTGCTCGTTCTTAAAGTTGGCATATGAGCTGACAGGGAATTTATACACTATGTGGCTATCCAGTATTTACTAAAACAACTCTTTCGCTTTTCTTTTTGCAATCGTTGGTTTGGCAGAAATATACTGACAGAGTAAAGTACAGTTTATTTTGTATAAACTTGTTTTTTAATGTTTTTCAATGGTATTGACAACTTTCATTATGATATTCAATTGTGTGTGAAAAGGATAGCATTATATTCTCTGTTTACTTTTACTTGCACTTGATCGTTTAAATGAAAAACTAAACCAAATAGACACGCACAAACATAGAACGAAATAAACAAACAAAAACAAACATAAACGTCCTAGATTTAGGACACACCTAGCACACAAGCAGACGAGCACTTTCACACTCTGGCCGCAAGGGGCCGGTGTCCTGATCACGCACGAAGGCGGTGGTGATCGAGCTTTTCAACGACCTCACGACTAGTACCAAGGGGGTCGTGGCCATTCCAGGCAACTGCACTCCAAGTACGATGGTTTTTTAAACGAGCAATCATTTGCCTCCGTTCCTCTTGCTTCAGAGAACAGAACCTAATCATTGCTCTCCATTACTCTTGGCTTCAGAGGAACAGAACCAATCATAGACCTCCGCTGGGGAAAATGGCAGCCTCCATGCGACTTCGCTGTGACGATAAATATCAGCGTAGAAAATCGTATTAGGTAAGTGAAATCCTATCGTTTTGTAGGCAAAATATTGATGAATATAGGTTATGAGAGCATAGCTGCGTTTGTTGAGTGTTGGCAAGCGCATTTAAACTATATCCTGGACAAAACTTACGTAGGCATCGCTGTTTCAGTCCCGTATATTCAATTTGATGTAAGTGATGTCAGTTAGAATAGGGCATCTATGCTATGGGCCTATCCAACTAGGAGAAATTGTGGAAGAAAGGTGGGGAAAGTGATAAACGTGATTCCTAAGTTATGCAACCAGCCACTTGGTTAGTAAATTAATATTCCGGAAAATTCTTAACGTTACTAAACCAAGCTAGGAGTTTTAGTCGTAAGTCTAAAATTTTGAAAATCAAAGTAAATACAATTAGCCAATAATGTCGCATCAATTTAAATCAAAAACAAATACAATTGCAGTTCATTTACTCAAATACTTCATTAGTTGTTCGTTAATCGGTGCGCTGGGGCACATGGAATCTTTCCAAATGAATGAAGACAGGTTGGAATCATCTGGAATTGCCTTGGGTGTTATGGTAATTTTTTTAAATGGTATTTCTACAGGGTGAAGCGCATCAATCAATTCAACAAGATTGATCATCATGAACATGACAGCGAGCGCGGCTGATCATCAAGCCTTGGGCAGTGCAGAATCCTGCGTCAAGGGCCGTGGCAGCACCAGCTTCAAACGCTAATCGGCACGATGAAGAATGACACGAAGTGAAGCAATTCAAATGGTGAAAGATCTAAAGACATTCACAGCTCAGCAGCATCGAATAACCATCAGGAAACTCGCATGACAAGCAGACTCCGCACCACAAAAATTCGTTTATTTTAAAGGGGGAGCGCACCAATAAAGGCAGTAAGAAGGCTAGCGATATGAAAACGTTCTTGAAGCTTACAAAAGGTGTGGTTGACAGAAACTTGGTGTGACCGCCAGCACAAGCAGAAGCCATGGCCAAAAAAGCAAGGCTGGCGAGCCTGGAGAGGCGAGGTAAGGCTGACCTTCGCAAGTAATCAACAGAACCTCTTCAGATCGGCAGCTGGCAAAATGATGTGGGATTGCTGAAGTGGCTGCTCGTTCAACAATAGCCACACTAGAAGGGAGTGCAACCGCACTGAATGCGTGCTGTAAAGGCAAACTTTATGGACTCCTGCCAGCCAATTTTCCAGAAGTGATGTGGGCCATGTCCACTGTGTTCTGAGGTGAGTTTTTTTTAATAGAGAAAAGTTAATTTTTAGGAAGGTTAATCTAGTATAACAAAACTGTATAACAAAAATAGTACCATAAATCCCATTCATTTGACATTGTCGTCCAAAAAGGTACCCGTGTATGATGTTGAAATTACAGTAAGCAGTATTAATTTCTATGGCATTGGAATGCATTCGCGTCTTTTGTTATTATAATTATGCCTTTTGGGGGGGTTAAATCAATGTGTTTGCTACTTGTTTCTAATTTTGTTGTAATGATCTTTTTTTTACAGAAACAATAAAGAAGTAATTAGGAGCCATCGAAGGCGGAAAAGCCGATCTGAGCACTGAGGTGTGCAAAGAGGAAATGCCGTCTGATTGTCATTGATTACATAGGACTGCTCTTAGAATGCAGTAGGGCCTCTTGCACTCATCTTTTACCCTCGCATTGCGACTCAAGATCCAAGAAGCAAAAGTTATCATTTCAAAGTGAGACTATCCTGGTGCAAATGACAGTTTACGAATCCCACTGTTTAACATTCGTGGTTGACGCGATCTTAAAAAAATTATAAAATCTGACTGGCCGTGACCTGTGTAATTATGTTCATATGTAAGAAAAATACAAAACCAAGAATGCAAAAATAATGCCGATACATACATTCACTACCAGATATCTATCGAATTTTGCGCTATAGGTGTATAACCACCACAATTCCTAGCAGCAGTATTCTTGTAGGTGTATC